CATTGATTTTTACCTAACAGCGAAGACTGATAGGTTTCTAGTGGGATCAAAAGAGAGCAGCAGATCACTCCACAGGGGGGTCCGGGCAGGTGTTGGGAGTTGCCGGGCGGCAGGTGCCGGGTTCGTTTTTCACCAACAGTCACACACTTCGTGCTCTTCGACTTCCCAGAACTCCATTCCCAGGCCACATTCTCAATACCCGGATGCAACAGTCACACACTTCGTGCTCTTCGAGATCATTCTTCAGACACTTCCCAGAACTCCATTCCCGGGGCCACATTCTGGAGGGCCGGATGCAACAGTCACACACTTCGTGCTCTTCGAGTTCCCAGAACTCCATTCCCGGGCCACATTCTGGAGGGCCGGATGCAACAGTCACACACTTCGTGCTCTTCGAGTTCCCAGAACTCCATTCCCGGGCCACATTTTGAATAGCCGGACGCAACAGTCATACAATTCTTCGTACTTGACACCCCAGAACCTTATTCCCGGGCCACATTCTGATTAACGGGATGCAGCAGAAATGCATTTCGAGCTCTTTGGCATCCCAGAACCCCATTTCCAGGCCACATTCGGAATAACAGGATGCAAGAGTCAAACACTTCGTGTCCGAGACCTCCCAGAACGCCATTCCCAGGCTACATTTGGAAAAATTGCACACAAGAGGTATACACGCCGGTTTATCTGGCTGTCTGGAACGGCAATCCCGGGATACATTCAGAGTAATCCCACGCGACAGTCACACACTTTGTGCTTTGTGACCTCTCAGAGCTTCATATCTGGGCGACACTCCTGGGCAACACTCGTTCTCACACTATCATGCAACACTCATACACAGTGTCCTTGTCGTCTTGTCACATATCAACTTTCAATTCCCTGACACAACCGTCACACACACACACACTGATTTCTCTGAGTTTTCACTAGGTTAGTCTCGGGTCAGCTGTTAGGTTGCTTTGCCGCTTTCCCGGGATAATTTTTCGATTGGAGTGCCACCCCCGGGGCTCGCACCTGGTTTTTTCTCAAGGAAAGTCTTCCTGCTCAAACTGTGCCCCTGCCCCCCGAGCTATAACAACAACGGCTCCCGCTTGAGACTTCCTCGATTTTTACTCAGGACCCCCGACTTCCGTGCAATTTACGTGGGAACGGCGCTCCCGCCTGAGACTTCTTCGAATTTTACTCAGGCCCCCCGCTCCTGCCTGACATTTCCGCGCAATTGACTCAGGAACGGCGCTCCCGCCTGAGACTTCCTCGCAATTTAGTGAGGACCCCCGCTCCCGCCTGAGACTTCCGTGCAATTTGCTCAGGAACGGCGCTCCCGCTTGAGATTTCCTCGCAACTTAGTCAGGGCCCCCGCTCCCTCCCGAGATTTCCTCACAATGTATTCAGGACTGCGCTCTCGCGTGCGACGTCTTCACAAATTATTCTGGAATTGCGTTTCGGCGCTCAGGAACCACGCGCGCGCCAAGGACGCCCTCACAACGTGGTATCTTCCCTCTTCCTTCGTCCTTCCCCCTCCCCTTCCTCCCACCCTCCCTCGTTCTTCCCCTCCTCCTCTTGCAGGGCCCGCGCCAATTCCAATGGCGGGCAGAGAGATGTACACCCCCGAAGGATTGTCCGCCCGTTCCGGTTTGCCCGTACGTCTAAGCCCGCCGGCCCCAGCAAAGAAAAATAATCCCCCCGAAAGGGGTGTGATCGAAGACGAAGAGGGCGGGTATCGAGGGTGTAGGGTATACGTGTTGAATGACTCGCGGGCAAGTAAGAGCGTACAGCCTTAAAATGGTTGTT